TGCAATTATTGGCTTCAGTTGATGAAAATTAGCCAATTAGACAGCATTAATAATTGAATTAATTGAGACTGTTTTTTTCCTACATAATATGTAACCAAATTTATTTTGGTTAATAAAATCTTGTAGCTGAAATTACCCCCAAAACTTCACCACAAACACAAAATTTCAGACTCAGCCCCCTTATTTTCAAACCCTGACATAACTAACTAATAACAGATATTCTGTTCTGATCACAAACTCTAAACCCAAGAGCCAACAATGGATATATGCCTGGATGCTTTTAAAGTGCTTCAAAAACCTATTTTTTTACTTTGATAATGTTTTACATTTTAATTTGTATTCTAATCACTACCTTTCATTACAGCATGTTTTACTGTGATTCACCTGAATTAACTTTATCATGTTTCTTGTCCTCACCAGCCTGATCAGCTCGCAGCGTGCTTAGAAGGTTAAAGACTTGCCATTTTGGATCTTCAGCCCAGTTTGAAACAAAGTACATGCTACTAGGGATGAATCCTTCCCCCAAGGAGAACTCCATCAATCTTCCCCTCACGAAAAACAGCCCTCTGCTTTGAAGGACACAGACAAGTCCAGGTTGGAGGCTTCATTTCTGTCAGGCTTATAGTCGTACAGAACAGCTGTTTGCATTACATTATCACGCAGATGGACATATTCCTGTGGCCCATAACTTCTGGATAATGTTTCCGCCTCTTGTTGAGTTTTAGTGCTATTTCATTCACCTGTCACGTGCTTCATTAGTTTACTGCTGGAATTCCATTAGAGTTTGTTATATATATATATATATATATGTGTAGTGAATGTATATAGTATAATAACAAAGTTGCCATCTTACCATAACGGTCACCTGATTCATCAGCAGAGATCATAGTTCACTGCCATCAGTCTGTCCTATGCAACATGCTGCGGATGATGACCAAAAGAATTCCTAAGGGAGTTGACAGAATGCAAATGAGAGGTCAAGGTTGTCCAAGTCAATGTAATTTTGCATCTTGGCAGCTTTACAAGAGGATGATTCAGGTTAGTGTTTTTCTCTGTTTTTGCAGCCTTCTGGGAGGTCAAAATTTCGACTCACAATGCTTTCATACCGTTAAATATGTTTGGGGTATGATATATATATATTTTAAAAATTAAGTCATTGGCCTACAATTGCCTTAGATAAATAAATCAGGAAAGTGGTGAGATTATGTGGGTTGTTTTTTTTGTTTTTTGTTTTTTTCTATTATTTGAAAGTGATGAAATTTCCTGCAATATATCAGACATCCATTTTAATTTAACAAGATGTAAGTCAAAACTGTATTCTCATTTTCTGACTGCCTCTACTGAGTACTTTCTCATTTGAGAATAACAGAAATAATTTGTTCCAGGAAAGAGAAACATGAAAGGGCACGCAGCTTTTCTGATAATCAGAACTGTCACTGAATCTGTAAGATAAAACCAAAATTGTTGGAATGCTCTAAAAAATGTTACAAAAAAGACTGAGGAAAAATAGGCTATGATTAGCAAATCTCGCTACACAATATGCAATTAGCATATATATTTTGAAAGTCATATCACTTACTATCTTTTCAAAGTTGAAATTTGATTGTACCAACACATTAAACATGCTGAAAACATTGGAACAGGGACAGCAAAACCCTGGAGTTGTAACTGTAACAATCAGTTGACTGGCCATAAAAAGACAACCTTAGTGAAGCAGTCTCTCAGATATAAAGATAAACAGAGGTTCAGCATTTTCCAAAATACATAAAATTAGAAGCAATTTTGAAATAATGCTACTTGATGTAGAATTTTGGACAAATTGTACATCAGTGCTCATTGAAATCATCAAAATATAGACATATCTGTGTTAAAATGGCAGAAAAATCCCTACTGAATGATTTTGATGTGCACGTTCTTATTCGGCCCTGCATTCAAATAGACATTATTCTGCCATGTTGTGTGCTTCAGTACATTTCTATGATTGCGTAGTTTAAGCTCTGTAATGCAAAGAAAAGATTCACAAAAACTGCTTTGCTTGCTCAAAATGGAATGAAGCAAATGGGAAATCTGTTATGCACTCTGAAGTCAAAATTTAGGATGTCATGGAAAGTAGGAGAGGGAACATCCCCCATTTATTCAGTTCTTAGTTCAAAAGCCTGCGTCTCAGATTAAATGGAGAAATGTAAATAGAAATGGAATTGGAACTGGCAGAGGAACATCAGTGCCAAAGGTAAGCACGGGTTATTGAGAAGCATATGCTGTCATTAGGAAGAGTGCATTAGCAAATTATGCTACATAATGCATTAACACCATCTAGTTCACATGACTTTGTATAAACCAGCCTGTTGTCCAAACCTTTCTGGACTGCTGAGCACTTTTTTCCCATATCAGACTATTTCTAAGACATTTCCCTCTACTAAGTAGACATGGTATTTTATACAGTGTTATGCATGGTCCTGTTCCAATTTTTGAAGACATTTTCAAATTAAACTATAATTTTCATGTCTAACTTTTAACTTTTTGTGCTGTCGATCGTTCGAGAATGCTTAGCGTTTAGCATAAAATTATGGAAATGACCAAAGATGCCTGACACTTTGCACATTTTTCTGCATTATTTCAGTCTTTGTGTGTGTTTCCCTGTCATTTTTGATACCTCTCACTTTGTTTAGTTCACCTTCTTTTTCAGAATTGAACTCCAGCTGTTAATCCTCGACAAAAGACTGACAGATGGATCTAGTGACCCCCTCACAGTCTTGTTCCAGGTGAGCAGATTCACCTCGTGGTCTCTGGACAACAAGATGATCTGAAGGGTAAATAATCAGCTTTTCTGTTTCCTCAGACATGTTTGAAAAAAAACAAACATACATGATTAATACATTATTGTCGTATTGGTTTAAGTTTGAAAAGAAAATGTATGTTTCGAAATGCAATTGCCCATATAAAAATGACTGTATTTTCTTTCATATTTGCATCACATCTTGTGGGTGTGAAAATGAATACCTTAGGTAGAGCATAACTGATCTGAAAACAGTCATCTCAGTCACATTTTTTAATCATTTCTAATCAAACCACTGTGCATGTGGGGAACAGTAACCTACTGCAGTGGTGCTGCCCTGGCAAGGAGACTACTTCAGACTGGCAGCTTTGTGCTGATAATCAAGGAGCTTATGTGGAGTAGCTCTTAACCTCTCACACAGATAAACGCCTATAGAAGCCTATTCCAACCTAAGGACTCTGGAGGCAAATATAAGGACAATGAATAGTAAAATAAGAATGAAACATTCATATTTGACACAGGACATACTGAGGCAGAGACCTGAAATTGAATAAATGACTTAATGTATCTCTTTTTTTTATCTGAATCAAGAATGCTAACCCTGTGAAGGTAGATAATCCACTTTACATAACAGCAAAGAGCGACTTGGACATAAAAAGCCTAAATAAGACATGGCTTGTGTGTAAGCCTTTCATTTTTTTTTCATCACTATCAAGATGAATCTTAATGTTGCCACCTCCAAAGGACTCATAGTATTAGTATGAATAATTAAAATAATAATAATAATACATTATTATGAATGAGATGATAAATCCCTGAGTGGCCAACTGAGGCTCAATTGATTTTTTTTTCCAAAACGACCCAGGTGTTTGAACACATTTGCACACACTTTATGCACATAGAAGAAAAGTAGACTTTTGTACAATATCTCACTAAATATATTTACATGACATACAATTCGCCATCAGTGCAATACATAGGAATGTTGCATATTTACCAAATGTTAGACTCTTTCCCTTATGAAGAAAAATAATTCCAATGACAGGAGCTGATATAACTTATGTGTAAAGTAACATGTGCAACTTTTATATTGATAACATCTTTGCAGGAAATTAAAAAAAATAAAATCTCTGTACCACCCTATAGACAAACCAGTATTAAGCCTTGAACAAGTAATTGATCACATGTACATATATATTTTCATACATGTAATGGATTGTTTTTGTACAAATATCTTATATAACTTTGGCAGTTTATCAGGAACAAAGTTATCGGAAAAATATGAAACAATAATATCAAACTGTCTGCAATGTCACGTAAGCTTGCCTTCCAAAGCTCATGTTCACAGTGGTCGTTCAGAAAGGCTGGAAGCAGAGAGCTGAAAAGAAAAGAAAAAACAAGCCAAAGAAAAAGTAAACATTTCCACCCTTTCTGCTAATACTGTTAGCACTGGAGGCTGTCGTCATTGTTGTCATGTTATAAAATTACAAACACCTATGAAGGTTTACATAGCAGTCATCGCCATTTAAAAAAACATGGTCTATTTTCAGGTTGACGTAAAATACAAACAGTTTGAAGGCAAGGGGACAGGACCCTGCTCGTCGGTCACTGTGTAACCATGGGAGAGACATGACCAAGAAGACATGCACAACAGTGCAGTGTGGAAGAACGTGAAGCCAAAAACAAGGATGCAAAATGAATGACTTTGCGACAATCAAAACGCCACACAGTTAGAAAATGACAAACACCAGACAAAATAATCGAGCAAATTTCAAACATACTTACTTCACCATAATTCATATACGTCGATTTTGTTCTTTTTTTCCACTGGTTTGGCACTTTATTGGAACAAATCTCTGTTCAAAAAGACTAAATGTTGTACAAAAAGTATCATGTCTCATTAACATAACTTGTAGAATATAGTACTTAATAGTAAGCATACGGTAAGTAAACACTTGTACATATTGTAGTTTTAAAATGAACATTCCAACAGATGTTACACACATGCACAAAAAATAAACAAACAAACACAACTCTTTCACTCTTGTTGCCTTGCCACTTTTGGGCCTTCAATTCTCTTTGGGCGCTCTCATTATGATGCCGTTTCCGGCCACTATCCCAAAGCAATTGCTGCTGCTAGCTCTCTATGTCCGCCACATCATCTCCTTTCTAGTGTTTAGTGACGGTAACACAACTCTTCATACTGCATTTTTGCTCCATATTACGACACTTCTTCTGTTGAGCGTGTGTCTGTCTTCAGACGGACAAACTCTTTGGCCACCTCATCGTTGGTCCTTTGAGAGAGTATCCTCATGATGGTGAGGCCTGTTTCATCCATGCAGACGCTCTTGACCAGCGGGTAGCCGGCCGAGCAGCTGCCCTTGTCCGCCAGCTCTCGGAGCTGGATGACCGTCATGCCAATGATGCGATCCTCCCGGGCAAAGCAGTAATCCTTTACGGAGACATGCAGCTCATAGGCCTCTGGACCATGCTCGTTACTTAGAACACTTGGAAAAATAAGAAGAAGACATAAGAAATGTAAAACTCATTACATGAGTACACAATGTAAAATGAGAAATAAATAATCAAAATTCTTAAACACAACCTCTAAAATAAACCCCATGTATGGCTGATGGAATAATACCAGTATAGATGCTGCCAATTAAGTTGTGAGACACTTTAATGTACTTTGAATGGTCTTTTAATGCATTTTTTATCAAATAAAGTCTAAAAAGCAAACTACTGCTAGTCTTTTGTGATATTTTAAGGAAGAGAGACTGCTGCAAATACCATAATTCTCCATTTTATCTCCCTTAATCTAACCAATCAGAAGGAAACAAACACTGGATACTCACTACTGGAATGTTTCATTGTACTTTGGGGACCAGTTGTTGTTCTTGGTCTTAGTGCTGAATTTGCGCTTCTTGTCAGCCAAGTGTGGACCAATGGCGTTGACTTCGACAAATGGTCGGAACATGGCATTGGTCTGCCAGTTGAGGTTGTTAACTTCGACCACTGTGAAATACAGGGGAAATATATATACATACATACATACAACATATATATAGAGAGAGAGTATAAGAGTATAATCTATCATTAAGAAGACAAGATATAATATGTAGCCATGAATCTGGATTTGCAATACTGGGAACTGCAAGGGGAAAAAATGCTGAACTGCAGCTCTTTATCCTATAATAATGGATTTTCCTTTTATAGAAACCATTCAGTTATGATTGCCATGGAAACCAAATTGCCAATCAAGTAGTCTTGTTAGTGCGGGCACCGATTATAGCTGTTTGCCAGCTGTAATGCATATGGTGTTGCCAGGGGGGAAGTGTAATAGATATCATTGCAGCTACTGTGTGGGTGTTGGGTTGAATATGTGCGACTGAAAATTAGAAGTTTTGCCTTCTTAACATATAGATAAAACATATAGATAAAACATCGACATACTTTCCTTACAGTGCATTTGAAAATGAACAATAGAGTTGTCAAAATATCACATATGTCAAGGATTAATAATCAATATAATTAACATATTATAAATATTTAGATTATATAGAAATTACAAGATAAATATTTGATGAATGCTGTTAGTGTGTTACACGTTTCTGATGACAGTCGGTGAAGATTAAAGAGATGCAACTGGTCTATAAAAAAGCCGACAGCACAGAGATGTTTTACCTAAATTCTAATGTCAGCATGCTCCTGTTGAAATGTTTCCCCTGTTCATCGTGTTCGTTTAGTGGGTTTGTGCAAACATTTGCTAATTAGCACCTCATACAAAGTTTTGCTGAAGGTTAAAGGAATGCAAATGTTATTTTCTGTCACCACTAATCAATGGTGAGTAAGTATCTGCCTTACTGAACTGAAAAATATCCAGTTAACTTATGCCGTCAAACAAATCAGTGCTGATACAAGTTTTACTAGGACTTTCAAGTTTCTCTAAATTAATTTAAGAATATTTATATTTTGTCTGAAAGCAATACGCAACTTTCTGAGCTTTGTTGCAACCGAAAGTTTGCATAGCAAGTAGTAAAAGCAGGTTTGAGGCTAAACAGGAAACTCACCCTTCACGCTGACTTTGTGCTCTCCGGTGCCAGGGTGAGAGATGAGATTCACTTGCATTGACACCTCCCCCACTGATCCACTGGATGACTGACCTGGACACACACCAAAACAGCAACAGGAGAATTGAACAGAGGCATAATGAATATCAAAAGAGAGAAGTGGGGGAGGAAGAGAGGAAGCACAACAGGAAAAACAATAAGACCAGAGAGAAAGGGAGAGGAGGCAAGAGAGCAATCCAGCACTGTCGGAGCAGCTTTTTTTTTTGTGCATGAGGTACCAGAAACACATCCCGGATGCAGTGTATAAACACATCTCTGTGTCAAAGGGAGAAGACAAAACCAAAGAAAAACAACAGGGGGGTGGACTTGATTTCATGCTCATGGTGAAGTATCAAGCATGACCAGATTTTCCTTTAAATTCAGGGAACAGAACAATGACAAAAAAAAGAAGAATCAAGACATAATGTGTCTGGTTTTGACAGCCATGGAAGATGTGGAAGGTGTACAGGGAAGTTCTAAATAAATAATGTTCTACTTGATTAAATCAAACTATTCAGCTCAACAGAAATACAAAGGTGTGCTTTTCATTGCATGCGGGCAGCTCAGGTAGAAGCAAAAGCATGAAAGGTTGAACTAACACCTGAGCTTAAATGCAGGAATATCTTTTTTAACAGTGCACATGACAAATCTGTGTCATTGCCCTGGTTACTCACAGCAAGAAAAACTATTACAAAGGATTGCTGACCATGTGTTTGAGTTTGCCATATGCAGGGAGAGCAGCACATTTCGGCTGTCTCATGTTTCACCCAATCCAGGACAAACAGATGTTCAACATTGAGGAAGGCAAGTGGTTGTGTGCTTGATGAAGAGGCATGTTGAGCCAATAGCCAATCAATATCTGCCAACCATGCAGTGCCCATTATAGCTGGTAATGAAGAAACAAGCCTAAAGATTTATTGTGATGATGTCCCTGCAGAAATACTGTGCTGCTTCACAGCCCGCACTTGTGGGAAATTTACAGAACAATGCAATCGTATGTTTGCCTCAGCTGTCAGCTGACATAATGGTAAGGGCTGATAGATTCTCTGCTCTTTCTGATGGGTGTTTGGCACATAAATAAATAAAGACTTTCAGAGTGTGCACAGTAAAAAGGGACGACTTCAAAGACTCAGAGGCAGAAACGGAGTTTGAATGAGATAAATGGTGTGCATCAAAGATAAAGGAGAACGGAGGTACATGCAGCAAAGATTGCGGTCAGCAGGTTCAAAAGATTAAGTCAGGAAATTGTTACAATTAACTACGTTTTTTTCCTCTGTCAAACAGCGAGTCAGTGTTGGCCCAGACTGCCATTAATCAACAGAAGTTAAAAGGTATTTAAGTGGACTGGCTGTAAAAGAGATTATAATACACATCCTCTGTGGCATGAAGAAGCGGTACAACCTCAGCTCCCTTACAGAAAAAGACGTTGCCAAGAGTGACCAATGCAGGATTAAACCAGCTCAATCTGTGGACTGAATACGTCTCTGTTAGAGCACAGATCAACAGTGTTACATCAAGCATCGGTACAACTTCACAATCTTTAGAGACCTGAAGCAATTCATGCACCTCACTATGTCCACACATAGACATCACACAGAACCACCTCAGATAAGGAGGGGGCAAGAGTAAAATTTGGGATGGGGTGGAATGATATTGATGTTATAGAGCAGGAGGAAGAGGAGAGAAACAAAGAGCAGTGTCAAAATAGCACACAGCAGAATGCTGCGCATCTGTGCCTGTCTGCCAGTCAGTGAGAGCGGCTTGATTGGTTGGTCTACATGCTGCATGAAGGTCCAGCAGCCTGTCCACTGTACTGCTGCCTGCCTTTTTAGCGTTCTGCAAGGCTGAGCACACTAAAGCAACAAGGAGCTTTGAGCCCCAGTGCCCTGCTGGGTTGAATTCCCTCTCGAGTCTCTTTGGGCACCTGAGGGTTTTTATGCCTTGTTACTGAGAGATGGGGGGGATACAGTTCCATATAGAAACAGATGAATAAGACAACAACACATGAAAGTGGGTCAGCGATGACGGAGAGAGCAGAGATCAAAATGGGGATTTTTATACGTTTACATTAACCCACTTATCATGACAGAGTTTTATGTGTTCCTAATGAGAGAGAAGAGGGAAAAGAGCAATGAAGCCCTAAAGCTTCTAAAGCTTCTAAAGTCTATGGCCATGTCTTTGTTTACATTAACATGTTTTCACTGTTGGAAAAATCCTGATCAGTGAAGGGGATGATTGCATGAAAATAAACATGTCACAATGAAGTGATTGCTTTACTCTAACTATACACAGTATAGAACTGGATCCACAGAACTGGATTTCTTTTATAGCAACATAATCGTCAAGCAATCAAAAATAAAAGAAAATAGGCTTTATCTGGTGCCAAAGAAATACTAAAAAGTTGCTTTGCAATAAAGACAATCTGCCTGGCCCTATAATGGACTGGGGACCACCCCAGGATTTACTCTGCCTGGACATCAAATACTGGGCAATTAATGACTGAATGAATAGCTGACAATCAGTGCTTTTGTTTCCATCCATGTTTAACTCCTTCTCACAATCCATATACAGAATATCCACTTAAATCTCCACCTACTCTTTAAAAGACCTTATGGACACAAGTCCCAATGATAGTATTTTACTTCTAAAGAAACTCCTCTCTCCATTTGAAAGCTGACTGAGCCTGATTTTTAATAGGTTCTTACCTTGAGAGGTTTGGGTGCATATATATTTCTTGATCAAGGCATCTGTAGGTTGAGTGTAAAGGCTGAGAGCATACTTGAGGGACTTCATATCAGGGCTCTTTTCGAGGAAAGTCTTTTTCAGTCCGTTTCCTCCGGCATGGAAGTATTGCTGCAAGAAAAACACATCCGCTTGTTGTATTGTATTATTTAAGATAAACATAATAGAAAAAAGACCTCAAGGGAGGAAAACTTCTCTAAGCTAATGCAAAACAGAAAGTTTTAGATGGATGAAAAGTTTAGGATCATATGAACAGTATACATTTGTAAAAACATACGCCCAGGCAAGAGACAACAGTAATAGCTACTTATGTAGTTAATTACTATGCATCGAATCTAAAACTTCTGCCAAATTGGCTCATGTGCATTTAAACTTGAAAGCTGACACCAGCGAAGGGTTTTCCTTCTTTTCAAAAGCTGCCACCACTCCCACACGTGGAAGGTGGGCTGGATGCTGTGGACAGGAACTTACTGAGAGGCGAAGAGATGCCGAAAAGAAGGGATGACAAATACAAGAACTCTGAGGCACACTTCAGAACCCGTTCTATCCCTTCTGGTTTATGCTCATGTGGTAGGCAAAGGTTCAGCATTAATACAGGGCAAAGAGCAATGAGGAAAGGTATAGTCATTAGCGTTAACAGAGTTTCTGTTAGTGTGACTCCGCTTAAGGCAGAAACTGATTTTCCAGCACTGGAAAAAGAAATGCAGTGGACGGATAAAGTTCCACAGCTGGCATCCGAGCCACACTATCTTTGACAGCGAGAGTGACAACCTATTACAGAAGGTGTTTGCAAATATTTTTGGACTGGTGTCAGGTCACTGCTCAGCAGTGACTCAACAGAGTGGGAGGTGCTGTTTTTTTTACCCCATCTATGACTCACAGATCATAAAAAATTAGCGACATATTCCCATGAATTCTACATATAAGTTATTTGGGGATAAGCCATAGAAGAAGAAAATAAAACCAGACACCAAAAGGTGCAACTCTGTAACTTTGCTTGCTTTCATTCACAAGGCAAAACTATTTCTATTTAATTTAATGATACTCCCTGTATTGCATTGGATTAAAACAAATAGTAAATTGCTTACTTGTCTGTTTGTTAGCCAGATCAATTCAAAGGCTACAGCAAGATTTACATGGAAAGCCAAACAGATGTGTAGCATTGCCTGGTTAATGGAGGCCAGGTTAATGCTGGCCTCCAAAAAAATCTCCTCATCATGGCCCCCACCGTGCTTCTATGGTTGCCATTGTTCATCGTGAGGAGAGGCATTGGGCCATTGAAAGTAAAGGATGCTATTATGAGTCTGAAAAGTGGGATTTAAAGCATTAGAGTCAGCAGGCCAAACTACAGGACACCCAAAATGAAATATCTGGAATATTGTCAAGAAGGAAGAATGCACTGGTGAGTTCAGTAATCACTAAGGGGCTTGGAGGCCAAAGAGGAGCTCCACTGCTGATGACAGAAGAACCCTGTCAATGGGAAATTCCTTCTATCACAGCAGTCAGGAGGGAGGTATGCTTTTGTCATAGATTACAATTCTTCAAAGACAGAAATAAAGAGGCTGTAAAGCAAAGTGAAAACATCCAGTCGCGGTAAAATCAAGATGGAGACCAGACCGAGATTAATCTATATCAGAGTGATGGCAAGAAATACATTTTTTAGATGGAGTGGAACTGCCCATTGGTCAAAAGTTAACCAACTCACCTTGCTAAATATTTCTAAATATAGTGTTGGGGGTGCAGCTGGGCATGACAGTTTTTCAAAGCTAAAAAATGATTGAACAGCCAAGCCAGTCCCCTGATTCACATCCTATTGAGCATGCTGCAGCTTTACTAAAGATGATACTTAAATGACAGTGCTCCTCTTATTCAAATTCATCCATAGATAAAAAACATTCCTTCTGCTCTGAAAAGGACTTTGTCCATGTAGATACAGTTTCATATACCAATGCCGGATTTGTTGAAGAATCTAAAACTGCCTTCATACACTATCTTAGGTTTTAAAAAAGGCAAAAATATATAATGTGGAATCTGTTAAGTGGATGATTCTGACATATATGAACTTCTCAATGAGTTGTCATATCGTCATATTTTTTGTAGGTTTAAAGTACAGCCTGTATGAAACACTTCAAAGACATAATACCAAAAAGCATCAATATTAATGTACAGTGTGGGAGGGATTTTTCCAATGCAAGCAAAAATGGTACATATTCTATTTTTCTTTTGAATATACAACCAAACCTATCTATGCAGTTATGCAGGAACTGTTTCCAGCAGCTTGCATTAGGAGCATATTTAATAGAATTTCAATGAGTCCATCTTTAATTCCAAACAGCTTTCCAACCCAGCTTAGCTGTCCTGTATGGCCCAAAATAAAATCTGGCAGAAACTTACCTTGATAGTGGGAAGCACGAGGTCCATGGCAGCACACTGGCGTGGCGTCAGACTTCTGGCTTCCTCTCGAATAACATGCTCCTTGATGAATAACAGAGAGAGAATTATGGTACCATATAAAAATGGAACGAAGAATAATGTTTTGGGACATTAAAATGGTAATATGATCAAATCTGAGTGAGCCAGGTACTGATGATATGATCCATTAAGTGTCTGGAAGACAAAACTAGGTCTAAACATTCAAATCGCAGGGGATGTTTAGTTCTGTCCTCACATACCAGGATACTAAAAATCCTTTTTAATCAAAAGAAATGTTTTTGTCAATTCTAATTGGAGCTTTCCTGATTTGTCAATTGATTTCAGCCTGGTAAAACGTCACTTATTTCCCTGGTGCTTCCTTCACATAGCACAGCCATTGATCTATTTGCTTAAAGAATAGACCATTACTGTGGATTATTATACAGAAGTAAGACTTATAGATGAACTCACATTAGCCACAGAAGCATCTCTGCTTTTCCAGTGAATGTATGATGACAGGTGAGTCAAACAGTAAAAGGGAGTACATTAAACTGTTTATGGACTGATCTAAACTAAATCAACCAATCAATAAAAGGAGGATCAGAGCTGTCACTTTAGAGAATGATCCCAAACTTGTGCAATAGTGCAAGAGAAAATTATTAATCATTATCAGGCAAAAAAAAGTTGGACAGCTATTTAATGCTTTGGGAGGAGGACAGAAACACACAAATCTGCGTAATGATGATCAGTATCCAGATGTTGCCTCAGAGGACAGCTGACAAAAATATGATCAGTGATGAGGCAAATTCATTGGTAAATACACTGCTCAAACATTACATTTGCATCCTCTACATGACTCAGAGCTAAAATGCCTCTCTGAGGTACTGTAGCTGTTAGTGAAGCCACAAAGTAACCAATGATCCATTCCAGTGCCTCACTACACAAACCTTAAGGGATTAAACTCCTCCAGATTCTTGAGCATTCAAATGCCTAGCAAGTTATGTTGTCCCATTTGTGTTATATCACCACAACCTTTATTTTCGGGTATAATTTAGATATATATGTTTTTCTGTGTGATGGTGATATTTACCAAAAAGTTTTTTTGGTGCACTGAATTATTTAAAACAGAAGTCCAAAAGTAAAAGAAAACAAAACAACTGTAATAATCATAAACTATTGTTAAATTTACATTTGCTGATTACACACTAACTAATATGCAATTCCAGTCGTTAACAATGACAGAAGATGGCTGTCACATTTCAGCATAAACCATGTACACTCCCTCACCGACACCAGGAGTGCAGGGTGTTGCTGGATTGATGATAATCATTGCTGTCACACAGTTTTAAATTGACAATCTGTTCTCAAGAAGGTTAGAATGAGAAAAACCTCTGTGAGTTCATTCCGGGCAGATTAAGTTTACCTGCAACCACAGTGATACTTCAACTCATAACATGATAATGAGCTTGTTACTGCAAGCTAAAATAGCAATGTTAAAAAAATAAAAATAAATAAATGAGTGGTCTAAGGGGTGGAGTATGTAAAAAGGCTGTTTTAGAATAATCAGATGAATACCTTCAGTTTGGACAGCTGACCCAAGTCCTTGGCGGCATTAAAGATCATCTGAGCTCCCTGCTGCTGGACAAACAAAATGGTTTCTATTAGAACCAAGACACAGGACCATAAAGAATGTGTATACTACATAAATATGTTAATTAAATTGATTTATGAATAAATAAAACATATGGAAAGGGGATTTATAGGAAGAATATCGCTGAAACTAGCTAATTGGTCTTATTGGAGTTAAAAATCATAATGGGAACAGAAGTGGAAAAAATTTCTTAGAATAATGGCATCAAACTGTTTTGGTCCCAGAGTTGATAAACGTGTAGATACGTATACTGCTTTACTTTCTGAGGGATTAATCATTTGAAAAAACAAGCTAAAAAAAAGAGGATTACAAAAACATTCCACATCTGAAGATTTCCAGATGCTGCTTTACGTCCTCTCAGCAGTGATGTGAGAATAGTGAGGGTGGAGAAGAGAAAGGGTATGCAGAATAATAAATAGAGTTCAAGAGAAGGGGAAAAGGGAGATAATTGGTTAAACTCACGCTCTGGTCACTCAGTGGAGGCAGAACGATTGTTCTCTCTATTGTGTTCAGAACAATTTTCCATAGCTCTTTGAGGACTCGTTTCAGGACTGTCTTCTCACAAATCTTGGCAAAAAGCATCAAACTGTGGAGCAGCAAACAGGACTTTACGTCAGATCAACAGTTTTAACATGCGTCAGACTGAGGTAACGCGTGTGAAGACGTCAGGTGGTGACGTCTTCAGTCAGTACCACTAAATAAATAGAAAAAAAAAAACAATGACTCCCAGAATATATGCAGCTTTATGATTTAATCTTACCACTTTGTGCAAAGGTCTTAGAGACCGGAGGGAAGGATTTTCTATTTCCATATCATTAAGAGGATTCCCGGTAATACCCCATTGGCTTCAATGCTGCTTTCACAAATGGTTGAGAATGATGCTCATAAAACAACTGGAACATGTCACTTCTTTCTTGAAGGTTGCTCAAGTAAGCAATAGAAGCAAATAAAGAAATAAAACTGACTCTCAAGAAAAAAAGTGTCTGTCTGTCTGTCTTTTGCAAGCAATAATACTTATGTGGCCATAAATAAAATAACAGTGTTCATCAGCTTTCATTGTGTCTGAATAATAAATTATCAATGGTGAACAGAATTCTTTAGAATTAAGTATTTTTTGGTCTTTACATTTCTTTACTTCCCCTGCATCCAGAATTTTACTCGACATGAGTAATTATTAATTAATTGCAACTCTATTCTCTTTTTCTCTACTTTTAGTTAAACTTTGTTAAAGATAGTGACATTCGCCTATTTTTGCTGGGTGTTACAGTTATGCAGCTATACATGTTATTGATTATATATATAAATATATATTCCTATTTCAGTTGATACCCACTTTTTATCAAGAAGGTCCATCAATGGCCGGAGAACAGTCTCTGCATCCATGGCTGCGTTGCTCCCTTTGGCTGAACCTTTCATTTGAACCAGCTCCTGGTTCATCTGCTTCACGCAGTCCTCGATCACAGGTTGGAAACTGTTTGATTACAACAGCATATCTTTACAGTCCTTTTCATATTCTAGGCCACAGCAGTCAAACGTAGCCACTTTGAACAATAGCTAACTCCAATGATATAATTGAAAAGGCGTTAAGAGCAGAGATCTCTTCTGTTTAAAATGAAATATTTAGCAACTGGCTTAGCTCACTAAGTATGAGACACAGCATGAGCTTGAGCCAATTAGACCTTGAGAACACATCAGACATAAACCAATTGAAAATGATCTGTTACATAGAAACTGACACTCACCTAGAGCCAAACACTCCGCTAAGCTCATCCAGCACGGTGTTGAGTTTATTCTGCAGCTCCTTTAGCAGATCACTGGCCTCAGCATCCAGCTGTCAGAGCATAGGGAGACATGGACTTGCTTAGCTACATCTTTGCACTACATACCCAAGCCCTCACTGACTAGAACTCTGCATCCCTGGAGGTCGCCTCAACTGTGGTAGGAGAGCTGGAGGGGCGTAACAAGCACAAAGGAGAGGTAACCTGCCATGCTTGTGGGCTCCCTTTCATTCTGCCTGCCACCTGTGCAGAGCAGTGCTCTGAATACTAATGGACATCTCAACTCAGACTGTGGGAATGATGACAGCTTTCCAAGTCATAATGTGATATTTTTGCGCAATGTTACACAAACAGTTGTATAGAAATGATGCTCTCAGGCAGGTATAAATCACTGGGTAAACTAATTAGGGTGTAAACTCACCACTTGTACAGGTGTAGCATGTAAAATTATGGTGGTAATGTATAATATTGCATACTGACAGATTACCCCGGAACTTTTGATTACCAGCCCCACAGAAATTCATCAATGCATCCACTTTCTCCACCACATTTTCTTAAGAGGGTCATGGGGGTGCCGGGAGTATATCCCAACTGCAATTGGTCAGTTGTTTAATGGTCACCAGTCCATCACAGGGACACAAAGATACAAATGAGACAGACAACCATACACACTCACATTCACTCCTATTGGTAATTCAGAGTTTCCAATAACTGTTACCTAACATGCATGTTTTGGGACTGTAGGAAGAAGAATCCTCCAAAAATTAAATGGCTAAATGTATTCACAAAATTCATATGCCCATGCATGGCATGTCTTTGATTTTCTGAGGTGCAAAACATGTGCCAAAGCGTGTGCATGTGATGGATATGCAGGATTGTTTTTATCTGTGTTCAGAAAAGCATTCTGGAAATCCCTCAGAAAATGCATGGGTGGATTTAGGTATTTGTGCTGTGCTGCTGGCGAATGTACTCGTTACTACAACTGCATGTGCTGATTTTGAGATGACTGTGTGAGGTGAAGCACCGCACCACATGCATGACAGATCACCACACTGAGGCCTCATAAGCTCAGCCATGAAGCCGCTCACCTCACACACTCGTATGGTGCATGGCTCAGCTGGAAAGCAGATGTGTGGACTTAACATTTTATAGATCGTGTCATTCTGCACACGTCCCTACCTGCGACGTGACCGAGTCATATTCATAACTCAGTGTGTTCATATGCACACACGTGCATATTGCTGTTCCCCATTACTTTTCGGATAAATACAAAATTGCTCATTGGTTGTAGTTCCACCTGAGTAAGAGTTTGAATAGTGTTAGAAATTGAGATTCTAAACTCATTTCAACCCTTTTGCAAAAGAACACTGAGACCGGCAAAGGAAATCCACCCCAATCTGAGCTATGGCCAAAACACTTGGAATCTTCTGAGGGGACCACATTGTCCTTTGACGGCTGATAAGAGATACGTCTGTAAAAATACAGAATATTAAAATGTATTCAGTTTGCAAACCTTAAAAGACTGCATGCTCTTAATTTTATAATAATTTTGAAGTACACGTATATGTGTTGTGCAAAATTTGGGAACATTTGTCTAGGAGCACTCGGGAGATGGGATCCTGTAGTTCTTAACTTTTGTCCTCAGACTTGCACAACAATGTCTTGCCTTAGAGTGAAGTTCAGAGCAAATATTATGTATCACTATACTGTCCGTGTGAAAAACGAAAAGGAAAAGACCATTTTGCCACAAAAAATGCAAAAAGCACGAGGAAAGACAGCAAATTTTAAGTAAAAAAAAAATGGGTCTGTTATTCAGTTGTGTTTGATTTTATTTGTTCTGCTTGTAAAGCTGGATATACTCAAATATTGACTTTTTTGCTGGGAAAATATGTTCCATTGCAACAGCGCAATCGTATGTACTGGTCAGATGAAACGTAAGTGCCCTCCTCTTTAGATTCAACCCATGTATATCACTGTAAATCTGAAAAAATATAGACAATTATTAATTAATTAATTAAACTTCATCAAAAGGGAATTGTCTTGTTTGGAACGCATGCAGCACCTGGCTCTTCCATGGTAGCTGGTTTCTCTCGACACTGACTGGCATGCAGAGTCCTCCAGAGTATACAAACTCCCCGCTGGCTGAAAGCCTATCAGCTGTAGTCCAGCTATGCTCCACTTTGCCTGTTTCAACAAAACAATATCTACTCGCTACCAGGCTGTTATTCCACTGTATAGCCCAACAGGACACAGAGTGCCAAGTAAATAAAGGTTTAATAAATAGCCCTTTATAAAGTGAGAGAAACATATAAGCAAACGGGGTAGTAGCCAAAATGAAGTCTCGACACTAATCTAGTGCGATCAGTCCACGATGATTCCATAAATGGGCATTGTATAAGATTACTGTTAATCACTGTTATTGGTAGAACTATGATAAGAGCTCTTGGTAATTACATTGGCTCTCTGGGAGTTGATTGCTGATAGAGAACTATTCTGTAATGAATGACCTAATGTGCTGGGAGAAAACCAAAAGCAAATTCTGATTAGGAAAACCCTTCATAACCTGCCTTAAAGAGGAATTATTTAAGACATACTGAAGCGTACATACACAGCAGAATTTCAAAATCTGATTGTGAGAAGGGAAGATTAAGTACCTCATGCTTAATTAGCGAGGGTTTATCTTAGTTTAGATTTGCGGACAGTTAGATTTGTCTGTGTTCAAGAAGATCATTTAGCAGGATCTGAAAAATCCGATCAGAAGTATTTTGGATAACTATATTAAACCACAGTGAGCAACTTGGTGAGGTTCTGACACTCAGATATCACAGTTCAAAGTTAGCTGTTCCTGCAAAAGTGGTAGATAGAAAAGAAAAGAAAGCTAAAAATAAAGATGGAATCTGATTGTGTGAGCCAGTCTCCTCAGAGCTCAGTGGATGGTGAGCTGAGCAGTTTATCCAGAGGGGTGATGGGTTATTCAGATTCCGTATGCTCTGTGGCACATGCTGCTTGAAGGGGAGGGAGTATGGTGTGAGAAGCAGAGGAGTATGAGGGAATATGCTGTGGCACAGAGGGGAGGGGGGGGGGGGGCGTGCTTAGTTTTACATTTGTTAAATGGTAAAAAGGGCTACTGATGAGTCCTATTGCACACACCTTACAGAAGGACACAACCCCCTCTTCCTGGAGATAGAGAGAAAGAGAGAGCACAAAAAAGACATGGAGGGAACAGAAGACACGATAGGAGACAAAACGCAAGGCAAGACAGGTGTTAGAAACTAGAGAAAAACATGCATTTAAGTCACAAGAAGCTGTGAGGGCTGCTTCTCAAGTTACACTGAAACACTGACAGGCTGACAGGATCAAAACGAAACCAACAGGATTCCAAATGCAACACAGAAATTTAGGGGATTAACTTAACATTTACAAAAATGGCGAGCGTGTTATATACATGGAGGGGGTAGGGATTACAAGGAATGTTACTTTAGAGCAGTCATAAAGGCCGTCGTCATAGAGGTGATAGTAATAGTAGACTGGGCTGCATATCAGAATAGTTTAAGTGAATTCATGATGAAGTATAAGACACAGTTTTGGTTCAGTTCACTTCAAATAAATGCCATTTGAAAATGATCATTTGAATGATAATGAGAGAATTCAGCATAATACAATGCTGATCTCAGAGGGAAGGTTTAGGCTTACAAATGAGACAACTCCACTCTTTCTGAAGCGCTGAATCCCATAAGCCATTAACAAAGAATATAGACATAAAACAAACAGACGTAAACAAACATTCAAGTTTGCACAGACCTGTTTGCCTCCCATGGACTCAAACATCTTTTCCAGCTGGACACGGAGCTGCTGAATGTTGTTTAGCAGGATGCAGGGCTGCAAGAGAGCAAGAAAGAATTTGATCTGATTGCTCTGAATAGATAAGTTCATTTTTTAGTGTGCCTGAAATTCTTTCAATGATGGTTTCCTGCAAAAACTGAACACATAAAATTTTATGTCTTGCAGCTGCTGGTAATGTATGGTTACAGTTTGTGAGCTTGTGATTAGCCCATGTAATTGAAAACACACTTCAAAATGTCAGAAAATTCACAAGAGTAACAACTTTGAGGCCCATCAGTTTTGATTTCCTGACACATCATCTATACAAAGAAGCAAAGTCTCCTCACAACAGACAGCAGGGACATGCGATACACAACCCAAGGAGAGAAATGGCTGCACTGAATGTGCCAGGCATTATTGATTCTCAGAAGCACAACACGTTTAACAGATGACAGACATCTATCACTCTTGTATTTTTATGGAGAACAATTCTACAGACTTCTTTATGTTTTTGTTATCTGCTTGAAGATGAAAGCATGCGGATACAACACACAATTATAGTATATATATAGTATGGTGATAAGGGATAGGGGCTACAATTCTGACCCTGTACCCCACAGTAGATCGCTGACTGGCATCTATCAAATCACAAAACAACCAGCAGCGACACTTATACTTAAACACTCACTGTATATTGAATTGAATAGAATATTTGTTTGGAGGCAATTCCATATTCTGGGACTAATTATGAATGAAATGGACAGAATGAGGTAAAACTACATTAGACTCAGGGTTTGGTCAGCTAACACAAGCACTGGGTCTACAACGTCCCTGAAATGATCAGGGGTGTCGTGGATCCATAAAGATTCAAGGATCTCACTTGCTAAAATAGTGGCATATATTACATTAAGAAAAGTTTTACACATGACTAGGCCAAACTTCGTCGGCAACCTCTCACCATCAAATTAATGGAATAAGCTGAACAAATATAGTTCCTCTTCTATTTTAAAATCCATTAGAAATTTAGCCAAAATATGTTTATTTTACTCTTTATCAAGTCATGCTTAAAAACAGGGGAGACAGGAATCGTTGAAAATCATCCAGCCATTTAAGTGTTATATCAAAGTCCCAACAGCTGCAGCTTTCACATCAGGGGCTTGAACCTCTGACTTTCAGAGGATTAGAGTTAGTTGGTCTGAGCTATGAAACCTGAGCCAATTTCACCCTTGATTGTGCAACGTATAACAGATTTGAAATTGTAGTTTTTGTAAAATATTTTCCAATCGTTTCACTTTTTAACTATGTGTTCCTTTTTTCGTCAGCTGTCTTTTTAGTCCTGTCAAGGGAAGTGACATTTCATGTTTTCCCCAGAACAGCTGTAATGAGACTGTCAACACTGTAGAAAAACATCTGCCTCTTTTGCGCCGACAGTGTCTGCTATCTCTCACTTTAGCCTGAAAGACCAGTGTGGATAATTAGGTCACTCACAAAGCTCTGTGTTTAGTCATTTATCACATTAAACAATAGGCCGAGAAAATGCCAATGACTTGTCCCCATCTACTATGGGCATTCAGATAAATCACAGCATCTCTGTTTATAAAGACACCGTTAAGGGCATTTACAGAAGACAGGACACAGCTCTGCATAAAACAGCCATTTAAAACTTATTTTAAAATTCATTCTCTGTCTCCTTGTCAACCACTACCAGTAATAGTGATTATAGAATCACTGTCATTTGACTTACCATATTTGCCCTAGCATGAAAGTCTCAATGTAACCTTTGCAATTAACATTTATAGAGTCTGAGTGGGCTCTTACCACATTCTCCTTGCTCAAATACAATGGAAAGTCCTTGGAAACGATTGCAGCATATTGCAGAAGAACTTTGTTGATAGTCTGCATGGGGTGAAAGAGACAATCTTACAATTTGAGTTTTTTTGCTTTCCGATTATTGGATCTTGGTATAAAACAGACACTTCCTAATAACATTATATCAAACAGAAATATACCAAACTGTCAGCTTAGATCAATGGCAAACTTTGTAACTCTAAGTTATTGCTGGCATTAGGAGTGTTCAGGGCTTATTGAGAGACTGACCTTCGCAAAGCGGCACATAAAGTGAGCCAGAGCCTGTGGGTTTGGGCATTCCAGCTTTTTGATAATCTCAAAACTCTGGTTTAGCTGAGTGAACACATCCACCACCGAACAGGAAAAGAGGGCGTGATCTGATGTCTGCTGGAACTGCAAGACAGCGACAGGGAAGAACATGAGCTCGACAGAGACTAAAAGGATAGACAGAGGTTCCATCTTCAGCTGTAAACACTTTTACGGTATGCACCCCCCATCATGGTGGACAGAGACAATGGTTCCCACCTGCACTTGGCTGTCCTTTACAGCGCTACCCTCTATGTATGAGGCAGTGTCCAAATAAGTTTTTCTAACACTGTGTATAAATAATCATCGGTCCATCACAGTTAATCTAGATGAATCAAGTTAACATAAATTTAAAAAGATTAGAGCTATGTCTATCGGATGTTTTTTAGTTTAGTTTTTGTGCAAAACTGACTAAAATTAACGATGTCATTGGATCAATGAAAGACAATACAAACACGGTGTCCTTCTCCATGGCAGACATCTATCACTCCTCCTATCTGACTTAGATGGGTGAATGTTGAGCTTAATCCTAAGAAATTATTGTGTGTTATACTCACTCCATCCTTCTTGTCCCTTTCAAGTGCTCCATTGAGGAAATCCATAGCAACATCCTCATTCTCATCAAGCCACTGAATGACAAATGGATCAAACCACCTAAAAAAGAGAAAAGAAAGCATATTTCATCATTGACAGGTCAAATAAAAGTTAAATGCTCATATGATTAATGTGAAACATGACTCAGTGAAAGGTCAGTTTTTGTTTACAAATGTGGGTCAAGCACTTAGCAGCAATTTGATTGCAGTCCAAACTGAGCAGATTAAAGTGTTTCTTTTTTCAGGAGGGCCTCAGTTCATGTTGGCAGTAATATCAAGATTCTGTTCGGATAAGACAGTGAGTCTCTGGCAGAGAACAGCAGAGGACAGGACAGCTGGGACAGATGAGGCAGGTACAAAGGCACATTTGTAAAAATAATGCTATTCTGTCTTGCACTTTGCCTTGTTTCATTTAGTGGTTGACTTTGTCCTCAGACCAACCAATGTCCCCTAAAACAGCTCTGCACTCTGGCTGAAGGCATCTTCTATGAGAGGGAGAGCAAATATATAAGACAGGTGCAGTTGCAAATAAAGACAAGACAGACAGGTATATAGAGGAGTCATTAGTCTGAAACTCTGGCTGGATGGACTGTGTTCCTTTGTTTTGTTACACAGCTACTTTGTTTTGCTATACATGATGAGGCATGCTCATCGATGCCGTTATTATTTTGTTTATAGAATTGTTTAAATGTTGTACATCCAACCACCATATAAATATGACAATTTTCCATTCAGTCAGTCGTGATAAAACAAAAATGAAACAAAAAATTCAAATACATGCTGATGTGAAGTGAGCAACTAAAACAAGACACTCTTGGAATCAAATCTCCCACAATCTTTGATAATCACGTGGATTACAAAGGTGTTGGAGGCAAGCCCTGACTGGGACACCAAGATGCTTGACTACAGGATGAACAAAACTGGTAGTATGAATGATATTAGCAGTAGTGTGTGTACAACGTGGAAAGGAATGTTACAGGCAAAGCAGTTCAGCCAGCAGTTTTTAAAAACATAACTGTACAATGAAGAAAAATGAATATTGTCTAAAGGAACATTTCAAAGTCTGAAGCTGATGCATAGGGAAGTCAAACAAAGGCTCATAGCTCTGGCTACTTGCCTGAGAAGGCACACTTGAGAACTCAAACCCGGAAAAAATAAATTGGATGACTGAAGCCACGGAAGTGAGAGGAACTTTGAGAGGCACTATAAAACAACAACCCACTCAGAAAACTAAGACTGAAAAATTCTGCAAGAACAAGAGGACCATTATGGGAGGACGAAGGCCCACATAACACCAGCGCTACCTGGCTGGTGACTCTGAGACCTAACCAGAACAGTTTCCAGAGCAATAAACTGTAGCCATGACAGTAGCAGATATGCAAGAAACAATCTCAAATATGAACAGTTGTAATGCACCAGGCCCTTGCAAAATACACAACTCCAGGTAAAAAAAAACAAAAAAAGGAACATTTTTGAGGGCTAGCAGCACAAGTGAAAAGCCCATAAATGAAAAGAAGTCTTTATGAGAAGGGATCCCTAGAAGGGGGCAATCCCTTCCCACTACCTGACGATAATCTGCTTCTGTACATCATGGATGCTCTGCCTGGGCTTCACAGCAGATGAGATGAGGAGGGACACGGCAAACTACAAGAGATAGGCCTGGAGGGGAATTGAGAGTGAGTGGGAGTGCGCATGGTTGTTTGCATCATTCCTCTCCATGTTGGCCCTGTGAAATACTGGCAACCTGTCCAGGTTTCACTTAGTGGCAGCTGGCATAGGCTTTCTATAACCCTAAATTGGATCAAGTGGGTGAAAATGAACAGATGAAAACACAGGTTGAAAAAAAATGTGTGAAGTGAAGGTAATGGTGTTGTCAGGTGTAATTGAGGCATTCGGAACCATTTCCCCAAAGCTTTGAGAGTGGCTGCAGCAGCTCAGAGGAACAACATCAGAGATCCCTGTCCAAAAAAGTGCAGACCTTGAAACAGCTAAGATACTATAATAAACATTCCAAAGCCTCTGGTAAAGAACCTTTGCTTTTAAAGTTACGCAATAAAATATAAAGTGTCTTTTAAAATATTACATGTTGCTAGTGATCCTCCAGCATTTTGTCAGTGCACAGTTGAAATGCCAGCATCAGCAGCATGTTAGAGTGGTGTCTTTATGTATACATCACGGGTAGTTTGGACATCTACAAAAGCATCCCTAATCCTGATAAATATATAAAGGTTTTGAGGGAACATATGCTACCAGCCAGTTAAGACTACCAGCCATTGTTAAACCACAATCTGCCAGAAGTAAAGGGGACGCACCTATTCCAGGTGTCATTGGATGTGACATCAGAGGCTGAAAACATCCAGCCAGTCCATTATGGGGCCTCACAAAGGCACACAACCATTGCATTATTTTGGTTGCAATGGTTAGGCAGATGGTTAGCTTCACCAGACCATTCTGCATTAGGTGCAGACATACTTGTACTAACTCCAGAAAGCTCCAAAATCAAATGCAACTCAGTACCACCTGTATCAGTGTATTCTCACAATGCTGTACCTGTCTAAATTTATTCATGAAGTTCTAAACATGCATGTGCATGTGTGTGTGTGTGTGCGCGTGTGTGTGTGTGTGTGTGTGTCTGCATGTACATGCGTGCGTAAAAGAAAAGATACTTACAGAGAATATTCTGGGGAAACACCCTTGAAGGCCGGCAAGTCACGGACATACTCATTATGAAACCATTTGACTTTGAAGTGAAGATTCATGTATTCCGTACTTTTGCATAGGCGGTGCTTTTCATGCTCTGCAATGCATATTGAAACATGAGAGACACACATGAGAGTAAGTATGAACCAAGGTCACAATGCTTTCACACTGTGACCTGTGCAGATCTTCCATGTGCCACCAAAACATTCCTAAAGAGTCGGAATATGGATAATGACAACCAAAGACAATCTGATTTTGGCGTTTCTGTTAGTGGGGCATTAGCCATGAGCTCTGTGGGTCAGGATGCTTTCCACAAATTCCAGGTGGAAACTTCAGATTGGTATATGGGGAATTTGGAGACAAAGAGAACAACTCCTACTCCGAAACCTTCAGTGTTAACTTTCTGGAGGCAACTGCTGTCCAACTAGGAAAGTTAACTATTTTTGTGGAAATCCTATTGACAGGTGAAGATGTTTGGTATGTGACAGGTATCAAAGTAGCCTCTTTAAGAATCTCCAAAGGCAGATTTCTCAGCAGAACATTACATTGTAACACAATAAGCATTCATGTCAAGTTTAACTGTCAGTGGTTTAGTTGTTGCAGTGATTGCTTTGAATTTAGAAGATCAACAGGCTCATTTGGGCATAGCCTTGGGCTATCAAAGAATACAAAAATTAAACTGGTCATTTGAATGTGCCTAGGTTTTTTCATAAAAGGAAAGACTGTGATAATAAGTTAAAGAAAAATGAATCAGAATTCCACGTCTGCTGAGTCATTTCCGAGAGATCCCCTGGTGTAGTGAGGCATGACGGTGCACAGAAAACATCAAAGAAAGAAAGAAAGCCAATGAGAAAGAAAAATGAGGGGCATGTGAGAGGAAAGCAAAATAAAGCAAAGAACAGAGGGGAAGTATTGTTGGGTGGAACCTAATGTGATGACAGTTAAGAAAAAGACATCTGGGGAAACAAATATGCTAGTTAACATTATGGAATTAAACATGACAAAATCAACCACAAAGAATCATTTGGAAGATTGTTAAATGGTGAAAATCAAACATGAGAATTCATCACTGCAAAGCAAATAAGTCAGGATATAAATCAAAGACCACGTAGCAAGCTTAAATTGCATATGTTTACAAAAGACACCAAGTCCTCACAGAGGAGAAGAGCAAAGACTCTAAGGGTCCACGCAGCCCTGAGAGGTTGCATTCTGGGTTCGCATCAGGTGGGAGGGAAAAGTAATAATTGGATAGATTCCCCTGGGTGTGACAATGACTGCAGCTGCCCACCTTCTCAGGCTGTTCCTTCTTAATCATTGGAATTCTGAATGCAATAATCAATTAACATAAACCAGAGTAAATTAAAAGTAGCTACGTCACAATGCTAAGGTCGTCCTTATAATGTCTATTTCTAAAATGGTAGATGGTACCTCACTGGGGAATGGCTATCCCTCCCCTTCACTATGGATTTTGATAATAAGTGTTCAATTCTATGCAAGCAACTCGTACCACTGTTTAGCCTATGCTTTATTAAGTATCAAACAAAAAATGCAACTTGTTTGTCTTTGGCAAAATGCAAATAACTCTTGGCTGCTTTTTTATTTGTTTTTAGTTTAGCATGTTGCAAACAGAATAACATATCTGATAAAAACTTATTTATGGTAAATGGTCATAATAAACACCTTAAAAATACAGATAAAAAAATCTGTCAAAATGTAAGTCAATTGAAGAGAGAAATGGTATTATGGTAACATGACAGGTTTCAACAAATCCACGTTTATGCCTATAGCACATTTCTATAGCACATCTCAGGTTAGGAGAGCAGAGAATTTAAAGTGTTTAAAGAGTGTGACAGATTTATTTTTCTCCAGATTCCTCTTACTGGCACAGAGGAATCAAAAGCACAGCATTTTCAAGTCTATATGCCCATACCGAAATACAGAAACAAGAAACATACATCCACAGAACATCAAAGATATATTTGAATCCAAAGTAATGCATCCTGGCTGCCGTTCTTTAATCCTGATAAGAGCCCGGGTGCTTACTCTGATGAATAGCACAACGCCTGCACCCCTACATTCAGCTCTAAGCCGTGAAGAAAATATTTATAAATGCAATTAACAATGTACCTGTATGATAATTCATTCCAATGCAAAACACTCAAAGAATGAAGAAGACTGTGAGTCCTAAAGTTAAACCTGCCTGTTGTCAGCTGCTCTGCAGCTATTTGCTTTAATATTTCTTGGTTGTCATTTCACTGAAATCATAAGATTAATTGCACAAGCAGGTTTTTATATATGGCATGTCTGATTGTGTTTATGTTGTGTTTAAATATCAGAACTCATATACTAATGGAACGTGGTTTCAGCACATTTAACCGAAAGATCTGATGGTGTTGCAGTCTTTGGAAAAAGTATCTCAGATTAAACGATCTGGATTTCTTTTTTGGCTAATGAGTGAAGATAAAATGAAACAACTACAAATGTGTGATAACTACTTCTCTGTCATAAGCAATAACCTGGTCTAAGAACTATCTTGAATTGCAAGCGTGTGTTTGTGTGTATACAGTTACATTCCTCACAGGATCATTTGCTCGTGGTGGGTAGAATAAGTTGAACTTGTGCATACAGCTTAAACTAAGATATCTTATCACATAACCCAGAAGCTACACTTGGAGGCTGTTTAAAGAAGTGATTTGCAGAATACATGTCTGCGATGCCAGAATAAGCTCAGGCGCCAAGTAGTTGCTTTCTTTGACAGGAAACACTGCAAAATGTCAACGCTTTCATGTGCACCAAACCCTCATAATGGTTTTGATTGCTGAAAAGGCTGGTTGCAGTTGCTCAGTCTGTGTCTCAGAAGGAGCAGGTGGTGGAAACATTGTGAATATAGAGACTGTTTAACAGGAGAGGACACGCAATTCTTCAACTGCAGCAGATGTGTGCTATCTGCTCACATGGATCCACTATGGCAGTGCCACTTTAATTACTAAGCCCAGTCTGAACACAGATGCACTCGTCATCACACTTTGTCAACCTTTCTGCAGTAAGCTGTGACGGTTCCAGCCCCATACTGTCATACACTGAGAGTCGTCCACTGTCTCCAGCTAAATGAAGCAGATGGACAGAAAAGTAGAGGTCAGCAGGTGTTTATATGGGTACTGCCAGTCAGTTATTTCTGTATCTAAGCATGAGGACAGGCAGAGAGGAAGTCCTTGTTTGGTAAAACTGAACTCGGAAAGGTTTCAGAGGTCAATTGTTTTCTTCAGACATGACAAAATGTCCAAAAGAAGATTTCCTCCACTAAGGAAAGGCTTCCTGATTCATTTTTGTGTTGGTTTTCTGTCCTTTTCTACCATGGTACTAAAAGCAAATGTGTTGTACCTTAAAGGGAAGTTCATCAAACATTAAAGTGTTTGACCTGTGGAAATCATGAATACTTGATGTAAACTAAATAAAGTTTTGTAACGTAAATGCTTCCATTTCTTGCACAGATGAAAATTCAGCCACCACTATTCAGGGTCATATCCATAAGAAATTGAAAGAGCTTGGGGACTGAATTTGTTGCAAGCCAGATAACCTGTCACAACATTTTTCTCTAGATTTACAAAGTCTATCACTCTTAATGCAAAACTATGTTCTTGTGCTTGAAAGAGCATAAAGTAGTTGAAGGCTTTAACATTGATATTAGGAAACTCTTCAGTTTTGAGCAATAAAGATGACTTAACTTCTTTGAAAAACAAAGTGCTCTTCTTTGGACACTGAATGAAAGCAATAAGATGTGATTTTCTCCTTACTGGGCTGAGTGAATGTGATTGTTCAATAGAGGAGAGAATCTAAGGGATATGAACCTTAGGGAACAGCATTTTAAAAGAAAGAAAAAAAAGAAAGCAATAAACTTACAGAATGTTGGCTGACTTCACAATGATTCTAAAATTGGTTTTAAATTTTTTATATCTATGATTCCATTTAGAGACATCTCTCAAAGTGTGCTTTTAAACTACACCGAGATCCCGCAAATACGAATTAACTCAGTAATAATTAATGACTTCACTCCCTTGCCCGTATTTCATAAGCTGAGGTGTACTTTTTTCACATTGGCAATCTGTCATTTTAGGGTTTAAGCAATCCATATCTGTGTGTGCTGCGGAGTTGATTTATGCAAATCCTGTCACTAGAGGTTTCCTGGCGGTGTCACATGAACTGACATGTAAAAAATTATCTTTAAAAAAACGACTTAATGTGCATGTGCATGTTTTAGCATGTGCAATCCTTGGTAGTATTGAAAAGACTGAAGTTTGCAGCACGGCTATTAACCTTGTCTTTTCCTATTTTTCTGCCCAACACATTATGAATGAGGAAAACATTTGCAGTGGAAAAACAGAACACTATCTGCAACTATATGTTATTTATGTCTTGTCATCTGAAAACATGATGAAGTACTTGGAGTTTAGGAAAGATTTTGCCAGTATACTGATCATCTGCTTTTATAGTCACACTTCTTTCTTACACATTTCACAGTTCCATTTAAAAGTAGAGATGCCAATTTTAGAGGTGTGTGTCAACACTATCGGCTCACAGTTGCATATTCGAAAATCTGCTGAGACCCTTCTGTCTGAAGTTTGCATGTTTGCATGCATCTCAGTATGGGTTTTCCTCTGGTGAATCGATTTTTTCACACCATGCTAAAACACTCATATTAGGCTAACTTGTGATTCAAAATTGTCTTTATGAAGAAATGTGTGAGTGTACATGGCTGTTTGTTTCATATGTTTAATGCATTGGTCATTTACACAGGTTTTACAACTTCTTCAAGTACCCACACTTAAAGAAACTTTACTGACTTGTCTAAAACTGTTTTTAAAAAAACAAAAAAACATCACAAAAAAGTGAACCGAAGCCAAATATTGCAGTGGCATTGATGACCAGGATCAGAGTGCATAGCTTCCAACCACAACTATGCATTAATAAAAAATAATGTTATCATACCATTATATATTTCTAATGTTGTGTGCATGACAGTGAATGTACTACGTAGTTTTGTGTGCAAATCTATTCATACATACGCAGTAACATGCGATAGTGCCTTTGTGCTCCAGT